TAATTCCAACTACACTGACACTGCACCCTGCACGCACACCGTAACTTGTGTCGCCATTATAACCTTGTGTTCTACTATTTATCTGTAAGTAGAAAAATATTAATGACAATTCAACCACTGCAGTTGTGCGAAAAGCGAACGGTGCTCGAACGAATTTTACGCTCCGTTCCGTTGCCTCCTTGTGACTGTCGTCTCCCTCAAACAGTATAACAATTACAGACCCCTGCATGTGCACTCATGCGAACAATGGCACAATCAGCGCTGACGCGTTGATCGGCTGCATGTGCGTTTACCCGTAGAGCTCCCTTGCTCTCTCCAGACGCATTCTTAGTCTCACTAAGTACCCTTCCTCATTTCCCGGTAAGTGTGAAAGACTCCCACGCCAGCATCGCGTGGATTTGTGTAACGACCTGTGTAAGAAATTTGTAATCAAACGTGTTACAATATGATGTTTCCTACTATACCGACATCGTTAGCTAAAGGAACGGTTTCGCGTACAGAAATGCCGTTCAATAACGTCGACTCTTGTACCCCGACGTGAGTCCTAGGACCGATCATGTGTGGAACATACACGAACTTACACACCGATTACACGTTGATTAAAACTGCGCGCGCCTGTCGCGCGTGACAGGCTCCTGCTACCGTATACCCTCCCATGGCCCCATGGCCCATGGCGACATCTAGCTCTTAAATATCTCAAATCTCTCAAATCTAAAACAATTCCGCTTCAACCCGCATAATGCTGATCGAGTTAGCTGACCGTGAGATTCAGCCATACGTACGTTATCATTCAGCGACACATGACTACTATACCTGCTACATATACACCATATACCTACTAACATACACACATACTATCCTGTAAGCTTGTGAAACAATTAACTGTATCGGCATTTATTATTATGAATATTGTTCCGCTCTGCAAGTAGCCTATAAGTATCTCAATAACATAACATGCACCTTTCGGATACAGGATAAGAACCATGGTGCATGTATATATACAGTATTTCACTATCACCTTGTATATTACACGCTGTGGGTTTAAACTATCGTTTTTAACTTTACTTACGATTGTATATATGCCGACACAGTTTGTTTCACTCACCGTTCTTCGTCTCGTTCTTCGTCTCGTTCAGCTCCTGTTCCTTGTAAGTTGCGTTTTTGTTCCGTTCTTCTCCTTGCGTCGTTGCTTCTTCCTCTCCATCTTTACAGCCGGTGAAGTTTTGTATACTTTCTACGGTTCTTCTCTCTTTTAACGCTGGTTTTGTATACTTTCTACGGTTCTTCTCACCTTTAACGCTGGTTTTGTCTAGTCGTTCCTGTAGCTTTTGAAGCTACAGATACATTTCAGAGATGATGACTGTGACTGCAGCTTCGTCCCAGTAGAGATAGTGATAGTGTCCTGAATCTGACTGGGGAGGCCTGTCTGTGATGGCTTTTTGTAGCAAGTAAATCTTTCTCGTTTATTATTATCTCACACTTCGACTAGTTGTTTCGGACGTCGAGTTGGCTGTTAGACGTTCTCCTGTTTCGCACTCTCTGTGTGTCAGTACGTCTGTGTGGCTGCGTGCGCTGTCGCGAGGTGCCTGTCGTGGTCTGTCGAGGTACGTGGCTGGTGTAACTCCCTGTGTCTGTTCACTGCCAAACACGCCCGTTTAAATCTACGCACTCCGTCTATACTACGCGCTCTGTGGAGGGCGATGTGTCGCCGTCGGCAGAAGATGAGGGGCGCACGCGTGTGCGCTTGTGCTCTCTGTATTGATGCAGAATTTTTAAGATACCTGTAAAGTTTAGGGCTGAGCATGAGACACTGTAGTAAAGTGATCCACGTGGTGCCAGCAAGCATGCCTCCGTCGGTCGCTTCATTTATCGCAAAGTGAATCTGCACACGTAGTAGCCATTAGTAGAATGCGTTTTCAGTTTCTGCTCTCATCTGGCGCTTCGTCTGTCTTGCTGTGGGAAATGAGGGCATGTGAAACCTGGACACATGCATGCCGCTCTCTTGTCTTTGTTCCCGGACTGGTGCAAATGACTTGTCGGATCAGATCGGGCAGCATTTGATAGCCTAGTCCTCGTTTATACGTCTCTAATCAGTCTTTAAGTAGTGTTTGGTAAAATACGAGAGATACTGTTCCACGACTTGATTGCCAGAGTATTCTGCATGCTTTTCTGTTGTTTAGCGCTAAAGCAATTTTGGAATGCCATGCATACATCTATTACTTACGATGTACTCTCTTTTATGTATCCATGGTCACTAAGGTAGTCCGTGGAAGGGTATTTTCGATCTTATTTTCTGAATCATATATACTTATATACAGTCTATCTATGACTGTCTGAGATAAAGGGGAACAATATACAATTTTACCTGGACCTTGTCATTATGTAATAGAAGAAAATGTAGGATGCCTAAACAGGAAGACAAAAAATGTCCCTCGTGTTTAATGGTTATAATACAAATCAGTCTAAGGGCTGTAGGTGGAGGGAGACCGACTCTGAGACACTTCATTACAGTACGTACGTTGTTAGCATGGCTGAGATTGTGGTGTACACACTCTGTCAGAGTGGTAGACTGCAGTTTCCTGGAACATAAACTAAAGTAATAGCACTGAAGCTGTAAATGTTATCAAAATATATTGAGATGATTTATGGAGTTTTAAATTATGAGCATGGATGCTTATTATTTTCTCCGAGCTTTTTGTTAATTAATATTAATAGGGAAATAAGGTGTGAATGACAGGCACGCTGCTGTCCAAAAATAACACGTAGCAGAAGGTAGTTGTAATATACACCGGTTTAATTATTGGCTTGAGCGGGGCACGGTAATTGGTGGGTACTGGAAACGTTTTGGTGTTGCACTTACCTGCGCATGGTGGTATTTTCGGACACCTAAGAAGTGTTTGACCAGCAAACGAAATGAGTGTAGTTTTTAATGTATCGAAAACTGTATTGGCGCATTTTATAATGTGATGGCAAGGTAATCTTATGATAGGCTCCACAGTTGCCAGACGTGGGGTATCATACACTGCTCTATGTCTGTGAGAAGTGCACTGTCAAGCCACTCGCTGTTCTACCCATGGACTTGGTTCATCTACAAACATATGCCAGATATTTCTCTGTACGCGTGTAAACTAAAACATGGCTAGAAATGGCTGGAAGCACGAATGAACATGGGTAAAAAAATTGACATTTTCCTGTCATTTGCTGAGTTGATTGCTAGTCTTCCCAGTGGCAGTGTTGTGAGTGTGTGATAAACTGTGGGTGAGGTGATTATGAGTCCAGTAACTTCTAATCACTTTTGTCAACTCAGCAAATAGAATTGGAAAATGTCCCCCAATATATTTACCAGCCTTCGATATTTGGCACGAGATGTAACCATCTGCACAGTGAGGATCTCCATAGTCCCATAGTTCTTACATGTATGAAACTCCTAAGACATCATCATGAGAAATATCTGTTTGGGACATTCTGTATTGTCTGTTTCTTAATCATTTACTGCCATTGATGTGGTAGTATCCTATGGAACAATAATGAGGTTCAAAACTTAACCTGTATGGTAATACCAAAAAAACTGTCTTATTACACCACTTACTCCTGGACTGTTACATGTAATATGGTGTTTGGAGCACTAGCAGAGTGAGGGGGAGCGAACGTTAACAATTTTACCAGTCCATAATATGAATTGCCTAAGACACAGAAGATTTCGATACATTGTTGTAGATAAATGAATTGTATTATCAGGTTACTGTGGTTATAATCAAAGCTTATCTTTTATGAAAACAAATGTTCCAGCGTTTATTGCATCATAATTGCCGTGCAACTGCTTTCATGACGTGCGTTATTACTAGTTAATATGTGGGCTGTTAACATACAAGCAGCAGGCACCATCCAGCAACAGTTAGTGACTGACTTGATAATTCGTACCTCCTTAGACCTTTGCTTGGTCATTGGAGTCTTTGAACCATTAAATATTAATTTTTACATAATGGATTCTTTTAATGTCATGAGGTAAACATGTTTTGTAAAGAAAAATACTGAGCAGTACATGAACTAAGATACTAGTATAACAGTATTTGATTAAGGTCTGGAAGTTGTATTTATAATGCAAGTACATGTTATTGTTGCACCATTATTAAGATTCAACTTCTCACTGCATTACCATGAAAATTTATAGCTGTCTGATTCACAAGAACATTCTATGCAATATGAAATTTTGAGAAATTAATTGAAAATCTCTTGTTAACAATTCATGCTATTCAGTCTTAATTTACAGGTGCATCAGAATTTTATAGTACATATCATCCTCACCTAACTCTGATCTAAGAAACAATGTATTTACAAACAGGAGGTTGTTTCAGGAAATCTGGTTCAGTCGTCATCTTCATCGTCAGATATAGGGTTTTTCCTTCTTTTCTCTGGAGTCTCGCTCACATGGTCCTTTGGTGGTGAAGACCTAAAATGGACCAAAGCACCCCTCAAAATTACGTTCTCCCTACAACAGGACACACTTGCAAAAATGTTCACTACTCACTAAAAAAAAAACAATTTTTACTGACTACTACTTGTGTTCACTCTTACTAAAGTAACATACGTGCTTAGGGCTGGGTCATCATCATTGGTGTTACTCGATCCATTCTGACTCGATGATGCACCCTTGCTGAAGAAACCTGATATATCTTTTTGCCATTCGGGTGTAGACCGTACACAAACTGTGTTACCACCCGAATTATTCTTTTCTAAAACAGGGAAAGAAATTTACGTGATATATTACCGCCCGTGTAATGGGTATTCTCAAGATACCCCCTTGTCAATTAATTAAATATTATAAGCATAATACTTATTAGTGCATCGTTGACTCATACAAAGTGTATAACAGCTAAATATCTAAAGACCTTACAGTAACCATATTTGTAACTACTGAATAAGGGCCGGTCTCAATGAGTTTATACGAAATTCAACAATATGACAATGTTGGGCTCCAGACACACAAACACGTGCACACAGACAGGCTGCCTGGTGGAGTGCAGGCCTCGCATCATCTAACTAACAGCACTCGCCTGGTTTTCCCGGCGACATGAAGGAAGACGGTCCAGCTGCGGATGATCCTCCCCCCAGCACCTTTCTTGGGGCTTTTGCAGCCACGGCTTAAAAACCAGCATAAATTAAATTAGGATTGGCAGCACCAGCATGAGCACATACATTTTCAATCTTCGATGGTACCCCAAATATTAAACAGATGCTCGTTACTATTTATACCAATGGGAGTGGGAGTGGGGGTATCATTAACAAAAAACAGGTTGGTGAATTGTAGTTAGTTACCTGTGTGGTTTGCACGTGGGTGAACATAATATAAAATTTAAAGTGCAAAATTATGTGAGAGTGAGACCGAGAGCGAGGCCAGAGAATGTGTAGTACCGTGGCGCGTACCGCATAAAATTGAAGAACTCTGTGACACTGACAGTGGGTGTTTAAATGTTTCCATTGGGTACTCAACACTGTACTAGTCTCATCATCACATCAGGAGAATGCTTGGAGTTACACCTTAAGGAAGGGATGCCTAAACATACTCATAGTCATACTGAGTCATAGTATTAGTAAATTAACATTCTATAATAACCTATGCTCAGTTACAACTTAGGCAGTGGCTACGGGTATGGCAGCCGTATCTTAATGTCTTGAGGCTAGGAGTACGGCAGTCCATTCGCTTTCATACTTAACGAGACAAAGATGGCGGCGGTGGCGCCAGATTTAGAAAAAATTTTGCACAAGGGAGAGATAGTGATCCGCTAGGGGACGGCTCCGATTGGCTAATTTTGTCTCATATATTTTTATTATTTTTGGCTAATTTTGTTTTATTTTAGAATTAGGGTTAGGGTTAACCGATTTCTATATCCACAACACACTAATAATGCGCCATCTAGTGAAGCACTATCTCTCCCCTGAGACGTACTTATTTCGAAATAACGCCTTGGGAAATAAATTCACGATTTGAGAGATTAGAGGAGCTAGAACCCTAATCCTAACCCTAACGCCAAAAAGGGGCTTCAACGAACGACGGCTGCCGTACCTCCAGCCACTGCGTACAACTTACATTTACAGGGACACACGTTATATATATATATATATATATATATCCCGGTTGCATAATCTATGCATGCGTTATACTATGATGCCCCCCCACCCCTTAGCGAGGGTCCGACGGCCGCAACTCCTATGGCTCATGTCCAATAACTATAATGACTCAAAACTAATGACTAATGACTCACGGCTAATGACTCCAGGGCCATTCTACTACCATTTGTACCAAGTGCCCTTCGAAGAGTTTATGATCCAAGCGTCCGAAATTAACTTTCACTCGCATGATTTCTCCATCACTACACTACTACATTCGAATTTAAATTAGTTTTATTTTATTTATATATATATATATGCAAAGATTGTGTGGAAGTGATACCGGTTTAGAATGTTTATATGTACTCGATTTTCGGGACGTAAACTTTGTGACATTTTGTCACACTTTTGTTCAATCAGCTGAATCCTGAAGCAGGTGTTACAAATTCACAATAGTGCTTTCTATATCAAGACTTGACTGATGTTACTTTGATGCCTATGGGGCATTTATCACACGAGATGCTATTTGATACCGATTTCTGATAAGTTCATGCCAATGATTATTGTTTGTGTGAATCAGTAGTGACACAGATGTGATTTTTCACATATCTTTAGAAACTACATTTCTCACTAACACTAACGTGTGATTACGAATACGTGCGTTGGTTGTGTTGTTTTTAGCTCATCTGACGTAGTCGGATGCAGCTTGTAGAATCGCATGATTGTCCATGCGTGCGTTCGTCCGGCCGTGCGTGCGTCAACAGTTGGGCACAAATCTTAACCGCTCGACGCACTGTCACGATATTCGGGACGTCGGGGGGGATCGT